TTACTTGTCTTTTCCCACTCGTCAAGACTGACAAAGAGAGACCAACATGCCGAGGCTCTTCGCCCCTCAATAAACATATATACACAATCCTTACCTTGTCATAGAAATCCTCAATCGAAGGATCAGTGACAATGACAGGTCTAGTGTGTGGAGTTGCCTGTGTAATGATGAGCGGAGCTGTGGTTGCGGAGATGTTCTTTGTGACGTGTGCTGCTCTTGCTACCATCCCTCCCTGGTAGAGACAGTAAGAATAGTATCAAAGGTAGAAATAGTATGAAAGATTAATATCACATGAAAACAGCTGTGTACAATACTCAAAAAAAAAAGAGTAAAATATAGTAATATAATGTCAAACACGTTCATTAGACCAATGGGATGTACAACCTCTCCAAACTTCAGTATTTATCTAAGGAAGTCTCTTCAAGGAAAAAACAACCTAACATCTTCACTCTAACACAGTTCCCAACCCTTACCATGGAGTGACCGATTAACACAACAGACTTGGGCTTTCTTGGAGAGTCTTCGTAGAGTTTCAGGATGTGCTGTATGGCGAAGGTGACAAATTCTGTCTGACGTTCCAGCACTGGCCCATACAATGCCCCGAGTTCCTCATTGATGTTCACAGCAAAGAAGTTGAAATGGAACTTGGTCTCGTGGTCCATCGCCTTTCTATAGGCCACTGATGCTAAAGATCTTACTGGATTCGTTATTAAAAAAAGTAAAAGAAAAGTAGACAATAAGTTAGAGAGTATTTTCACATAACAGAACCCTTTTTTCACACCCTATAAGTCTATTCATTTATAATCTATTCATAACAGACAAATTACTTACTATCTATTACATATTCACATGGGCCAGGTAAAATATTTTTTTAAAGATTTTAGTCATATGAAAATATATAGGAACATGGTAGGTCACATAGTTTATCTATTTCTTTTCATCATTATTATTTCTACTAAATTTAAGTGACACTGAGCTCTCATTTTTATGGAGCATGCCTTAAAACATCAATATCTTTTGGTTTTCCACATCGAAATTAACCTCCCAAGTCCTACACAAATTGTTATGACAGTGGCTTGCCTTCTCCCATGTAAACAGTTCTTTTTCCAATGATCATGAAGGCCTATATAAAAAAAACTGATAGGCTTATTTCCCACATTATTTTTTTTATGAGACATATGTAATATCCTCTTATACTCCCGAGGATATTTCCTTCAGTCGCATCGTATCATCCCAAGTCCCATTCTAGGCCTTCTTCATGGGTTCTCAGCTTCATCTTTCTTGTGAATGGGACATAGTGAGTGAAGTAGTCATTCTAGGACTGCACAACATATTCTACAAAGGTAAGTCCCCATCTACCCCTATCCAACATTTACCCTCCACATACCATACTATTATATAATCACAGGCTCATATGTGATAGATAAATATATACAAATCATAAAAATATTTTTTTTTGCTTTTACTTTATACATTACTGTCGTTTTCATTTATATGCAGGTTGTCAAATGCAATAACTTTTCCAACTTTGAGAACATATTTTCAGTATGTTTTTGATTAATGAAAATGAAGTATAGATTTTCTGGTGTGTCAAATCAAACTCTTGAAACTTCAGGACCCAAAGTTCGCCATTATGAAACCTCAAAAATTAGGTATATCTTGCAGCTGAGGAGACAGACAAGCTGGAAGATTTGCAGTTCTTAGACATTTAGACTTATTTTTCTTTCTTTCTTTACTTTGCCTTATTGCCCATCATTCATTATTCATTTCATTGCTAATCATGATTTACATATCTATGACTATTGATTTGCCACACCATTGCACTGACCTTGCTTATGAGATCCACCATTCCCTGGGATAAACAATACAGGAATGCCAGAAAATTTGCCTTTTTTCAGTGTTTCCGAGTAGTTGCCCTCACCGTACACGATTAAGCTGTAGTGCGGGAACTTTTTTCTTACCTCTGTAGGAAGTCTCAGTGGCTGAAAATATAAAAATAATGGCTCAGTATTAAGGACTTTTAGACTGGATATCAATGTGAAGTATTTTTAGAGTAACTATTTAATCACTGCTCCCTGTATTAACAAAATATTAATATTTCTGTTCTTCACTGCATTTTACTCAGCTTTGAAAAAAAATGTCCTTACGTGATCTATGTATCCATCAGTAGAGAATGACCAAACTATGATATCACAATTATCAATCTGATCAAAGACTTTTTTCCTTACAGCTCACTTTAATACTAAAGAAACAGATAGAAAAACACACACACACACACACACACACACACACACACACACACACACACACACACACACACACACACCACACACACACACACACACACACACACAACACACACACACACACACACTTAGCTTTTCAGACTCCACCTTGTTTCCTGAGCTACTTACACTTAGCTTACCATTTTTACTTCACTGCAATAACGTTCCCCTCGGCTGGGTGCATGTACACTCAACTCTCAATATCTTTTTCTTAATAATCATATAATTGCATTACAATATTTACCAAATCTCCAAGATAACCATAGACAACTGACCAGTGATTCTCAACCAGGGGTAAATTTACTCACTATGCAAGTGAATATTTACATGGCAAGGGATAAGTCTTTGCTAACAATGTGGGCTGACGCCATTTTTTTTCTTTCTTCTTTTACCAAATACAAATACTATACATACATAATAATTTCCCTTAAAAAAATCATCCTATGCAAAACCTAAATAATGAAGGTGCTTTCAGGGTGTTATAAAGTTATAAGAATAAATCAGCCAACACTTACACAGACTCAAAAACAGGACACCTAAGAAATAACCACAATAAAATGCAGATACTCATGATATACATCAATCTGCACAGACACACGCAAATAAATAAAGATTCTTATACAAATAGATCGCCCAGCACAATAAAATGCGGTTATTCATACATATAAGTCATTATGCACTTACACGCACTCATAGAAAAGAATAGAAAAAAAAAATTAGACATATACAAGACCCAGTCCATAAACACACCCAAAACTGAATATTTAAGAAATATTCACAATAAAATGCAGATGCTCATACATATACATCATTCTGCACTTACACACACTCACAAAAAAATATATATTTAATAAATAACACATACACATATATCACCCAGCCCTTACACACATTAAAAAAACTGAAATCAAAGATATACTCACAATAAATGCAGATACTCATACATATACCTCATCCTGCACTTACACATGCTCATAAAAAATATTAAAATAAAAATTTGATAAATAACATACACATACACATGCCACTAAGCCCTTACACCCTTACACACACTCAAATGCTAAAACCTATGAAATACTCACAATAAAATGTGGATACTCGTACATATACATCATTCTGCATTTACAAACCAGCAAAGTTAAAAGAAAAGAGAAAAAGAACAGAAATATGTACCAATACATCACACCCAGCCCTTACACATAGAAAACCAAAGAAATACAATAAAATGCAGATAATCCTACATATACATCATCCTGCACTTATACACATGCAAAGTTAAATGAGAAAAAAAACAGAAACATATACGAATACGTCACACCCATCCCTTACACACACACAAAACAGAAAACCCAAGAAATACTCACAATAAAATGCGGATACTCGTACATATACGTCATCCTGCACTTGTTCATCTCCAGGTTGAACAAGTAGTCATAGCCACCCCCGAGCAGCAGGGCACACAGCAGCCCCGACAGAACCAACTTCACCCCGACTGCCATGGCTACACGACCAGAGAGGACGAGGGCTTTCCAAAATCACCTCAAATCACGGACAGAGGGCATTGAGAAACACCCCCTCCACCTGAGAGAGGGGAAAATAATGAGAGAGGAGGAGGGCGAGTGTCTACGGCAGCTCGCAGGTGGGTTTGTTTACATGCCCGGTTTGTTTTGCTCCACACACGCGCACTGCGGCATCCACGCCCCCCCTGCGGTTTTCGGGAATATGTATCTTTTTGTCGGGAATTGGGGGTTGGGGATTTGGGGGGGTTGGGGAAGGGTTGTGGGTTTGGTTTTGGGGGGGTTGGGGTTGGGGCGGGGTTAGGGTTGGGGCTAGGGGTTCTGGGGTGTCACTGCGACCTTCCGTGGTTCCCCTGTGTTTTGGGAATATTTTTATCAATAATAATGATGATAATGATAATAATAATGATAATAATAATAAATGATAATAATAATATAATAATATATATAATAATAATAATAATAATAATAATAATAATAAATAATAAAATATATAAATAATAATAATAATAATAATAATAATAATAATAATAATAATAATAATAATAATAATAATAATAATAATAATAATAATAATAATAATAATAATAATAATAATATATAATAATAATAATAATAATAATATAATAACATAATAACAACAACAGCAGTAATAACTAATAATATTCACCACTCATAATGATGACAATAATGATAATAATAATAATGAAAATAATGATAATCATTGTTGTCATCACCATTACCCATAACATCATTATGATCATTATCATCATTATTAGTAGTCGTAGTAGTGGCAGCAGCAGCAATAGCAGTAGTATTGGCATTATTATAATCACACTAACAATACAGATAAGAATATAAAAGAGATGAAAATGAATATTTTAATAACAAGAAGATACTATTAATAATATTCACTTACATATAAATATAAATAAAAAGCACTGTATGCATAAACTTATTCTGTCACACTCGACTCACAAGAGGTTATCAGTAACACCTTATATGAACTGGCTGCCTCGCGCTAAGAACAATAATGAGTATACTTTTCATCTTGATAAGATTACAGTACTTTTATCTGCCATCGGATAGTAATATAATTCATTCTACTAAAAATATATGGATACTGCAATGAATAACGTATTAGATTCGTTGTTAAAATTGTGGATTTTTTCTTCTTCTTAAAAGTGGTTTCATGTTTGTTTTTTTTTTTCTTTTTCTTTTTTCTTAAGTAACCTGCAAGTTCCGTTCGTGTGCTGTTTCGGCTAAAATAATATATTAGATGTAAGGAGGAATATTCTCTTTACTTAAATGTAGTTCGGCTAAAGGAATATCATGTTAGAGGCAAAACTGTATTAACTTACAATATTAGTGTGTGATATGTGAATTGTGAAACGCATTTATGTATGTGAAAAACAACTTTGCCAGCCCATGACACTATTTTTTTTCATTACTGATCAGTGGTATGAACATTTCCTTGTCTTATCTAATTAAGTTCTGCTCATATTGATCTATTTCCGTGACAAATGCGTAACTGAAGATTTCAAATAAAGTGATAACACTGATGGTATTAATACTGATAGGGGACGCCATGCTTCATTTTCATGCGTTTCTACCTATGCCGTTTGTTTTATGAGGGATGCATTTTATTGACAGAAATAGAGACAAGTGTACCATTCCTGCTGATGAATCTTCACGCCGTGCACTTATCTGATGTGTGTATGATTTAATGTTTTATCTCGCTGTTCCCTTTTTATCAGCGATGGCACCTTTATCATTGTTCCTTCCGCGACGCCGGTTTTATGTGTACGAAATGAACTGCTCTTCGAACCAAACGTAAGTTACCAAATCAGGAATTAAACATGCTTATGGAGGAGGCCCCGCGTAGAGTGAAAATAAACATTGAAGACATTAATATCTTGTAATCGGTAGCATAGTCTAAATTCAACTCCAAAAGCGAGGCCCTAAACCAGCTGTTCTCAACTCCGAGGTCGCGAGTGTGTCCCCATACCCAGAAGCCGCCAACACACGCCAGGGCAAGGTCTAGCGTCAGGGGGCGTCGTCGGCCGTAACCGGTATGTGTGGATTGGAGCGAGACAGCCCCTCACCCCGTAAGGAAGATGGGGGGCTGATTCGACCTGACCTCTTCTCTCCTGTCTCTGTCTCTGTCTCTGTCTCTCTCGTCTGTCTCTCTCTCTCTCTCTCTCTCTCTCTCTCTCTCTCTCTCTCTCTCTCTCTCTCTCTCTCTCTCTCTGTCTGTCTGTCTCTCTCTCTCTCTCTCTCTCTCTCCTTCTCTCTCTCTCTCTCTCTCTCTCTTCTCTCTCTCTCCTCTCTCTCTCTCTCTCTCTCTCTCTCTAGCTATATCTCTCTCTGTCTGTCTGTCTGTCTCACCCTCCCTTCCCCTCCCTGTGTTATCTGTCTCACTAAAAATAAAAAACAGACAAAAAAAAAAAAACACCCTTCTCTCTCTCTCTCTCTCTCCTCTCTCTCTCTCTCTCTCTCTCTCTCTCTCTCTCTCTCTCTCTCTCTCTCTCTCTCTCTCTCTCTCTCTATCTCTATCTATCTCTCAAGCTCATTCTCTCTCTTCCATCTCCCCCCTGTCTCTGTCTCTCTCTCTCTCTGTCTATCTCTCTCTCTCTCTATCTCTATCATCTCTATCTTTCTCCCTCCCCTCTCTCGTCTCTCTCTCATTCTCTCTCTCCACTCTCCTCCCCCCCTCTCTCTCTCTATCTCTCTCCCCCTCCCCTTCTCTCTATCTCTCTCTACTCTTCTCTCTCTCTCTCTCTCTCTCTCTCTCTCTCTCTCTCTCTCTCTCTCTCTCTCTCTCTCTCTCTCTCTCTCTCTCTCTCTCTCTCTCTCTCTATCTCTATCTCTATCTCTCCCTCTCTCTCTCTCCCTCTTTCTGTCCCTCCCCCTTTCTCACTCCCTCAAACTTTATGGTTATCTCATAAACAGATTCCATACCCGTCAGTAATCATACTTCGGCGTTTTGACCCGTAGATTTCATTACATTCTGGGTCAGCTTTGATGAACAGTAAAATAGTTCACATATAGGATAACAATACTTTTATTTTCTAGCACAATAAGAGACCTTCACTTAACATAAACATAGGTTATTATCTACCCTGAATTTTGGACTTACTGAATAAATATTTTCGCGCTTATTATATAGAGTATCTTTATATATACCTAGACATTCTGTTCATGTCTAACCATATATCAAAGTTAAAAGACAGGTAGTACCACTCTAGATGAAAATCCTAGTTGGTAACTGTTAAGCTAAGCCCCGCCCATTCGCTCTCACATGACAAATATTATTAAGTGTTCTCTATTTCTACATTGTTTCCATTAGTTTTCTACAATTTTTTTATATCTTTTTTTATACCAATAGTTAGTAATGAGATTATTAAAAGGCGTCGTTTAGAGGAAAGCGAAAAATGTTGTAGGGATGGTAAAGATATGGATGAAAATTAAATCAGCCACATTTATTTCTATTTTTCAGTTCTCATTGTGGCTGATTTCATTTTCATTTTTGTGTACACGTTACTGTGTTTGTACTTGTGTTCAAAGATATGGATCTATTTTGTATGATAACGCTGTAGCATGTGGGAGGATGGACATGCTTTGTGTTGTATCTTGATCTGGTAAAATCCAGAAGAAACAGGACCTTACACTTATTTTTTGAACGAAGAGAGAAAATTTAAAGAAACAATAAAGGTCGGATATGAACGTAATTTCAAAGACAGCTTCACGCCGACATATGACAAATGGTAATTAAAACACTCTGCAAAATGTATGGGACAAATAGAAGGCCAAGAATTCAGTTATTTCAAATGCGACAAGATCTTTTCTTTTACATTCATCAGTTCACTTTTTTTTAAGTTTTACGGTCATGTGGGGAAAATGTGGAAAGGCACAAACCTCTTATTTTTGTTTTATGGTACCGCATGGTTAAACAGCACACTGAACCCTAGTTAATTAAATATATCGAGGAAACCGCGCTAACTGCGAAGAGTAAATGAAAGGGGCGGAGCTAATGCGTCACCGCTCTTAGCCAATGAGAACGCTCCGAAAGATGCCTGATGTCACTAGATTAATGATTACTTGTACGAGTCATTCGATTTACTTACAACTCTTAGAAGTAAAACAAAAATTACGAACTTTTAGAATTAAAGCAAAAATTCCACACTTGTATTTATGATAACAAGGGCATTCCGTATCATAAACAAGCGTTTGCATCATCTAGGGGAAAGGTCACTTTAACTTTTTGGTTCAATAGATTAATTGGAAGCAGTATTACCTGTTTATAAACACGTATGGTGTGTGTTTGTATGTATATGTAGCTGCGTGCCTGTATGTGTAGCTATGTGTGTGTGTGTGTGTTTGTAGATGTGTGTGAGGGAGTATTAATAAAATTAAATTGAAAAACCCAGAGATACAGATTATATAACAAACCCAACAATGCTAGATACAACCTCTCTGTTGGTCTTCTCGTGAGATACTGCTGGTGGCTCTGATGTGCATATTGATATCAATAAGTAATCTTTATTTCACTGATGTCCACATTGTATTTTCGTTATATCGTTTGTTTCCTTTTGGCTCTACTTTCATTATCGAAATATGTTATTATCAATGTTGTATGGATGTTATATATATATTATATTATATATATATTATATATATATTCTTTATGTTATATATAATATTTATCTTCACTGCAATTATTACCATCGTCATCATCTCTCTCTCTCTCTCTCTCTCTCTCTCTCTCTCTCTCCTCTCTCTCTCTCTCTCTCTCTCTCTCTCTCTCTCTCTCTCTCTCTCTCTCATGGAAAGGAGAATATTCACAACAATCTTCAGTTATCAGTGATCACTCCATTGAGTTTTGCAAAGGCAAGCATGGCCTAGAATTTTACACTTTACATGTACATTACATAGTTAAAAGGAAGAAGCAACACATTAGGGAGAAAACAGAAACAAACACACACCACACGAATGCGCACTCGCACGCACACGCACGCGCACACACACACACGCGCACACACACGCACACACACACACACACACACACACACACACACACACACACACACACACACACACACACAACACACACACACACACAACACACACACAACACATTTAAGGTGATATTTGTGATGAAGATGCCCAATAAAGTGAGAACATTTTAATAAAAATAGTACAATATCATGAGTTATCAATTTTTTTGCTTGTTTGTCTGTCAACTGTCGAAAGGTAATACTGAATAAATTGACTTTAAACTATCTTAGTACTATTATTAAAACCAGTATAGTAAGACTGAAAAGATGACAAGAATCCATATAAAGATTTAAATTGTTAAACTAAAAGTGCTCTAAGATTATTTGACTTGCGTATTCCAATAAATTGCAAATACATTTAATGAGAAGTGAATATGAATAAGTTACAAATACAGCTACTAAGAGCTGAATAGATAAATTGCAAATACAGTTAATGAGAAATAGGATAATCAAATGGAAGAGATAAAATTTTGTTCTAGCGGCAAAGGAAATTGACAAATTGCAAAACTATGATTTTGAATTTATAATATAAATCTGGAGATTCTTGATTTAGAAAACATTGATCAATCTGCAGGCAACCCCATTGAGCTCCCTCGACTTGGGAAATTGGGGCTCCTACAAGCTTTAAGACTTAAATATAGGTGCCACTATTCGTTTAGGTAACTAAATTACGGTCCCCACCAGGCCAGCTGTAAGGTGACACCTGTAGCAGGGCATACATTACTGCGCCTATGGGAATATATGTATGGCAAGAGGGACAAGACAGCGGAGTTTTCCAATTCTGCTTAGAAGCCCGTCCCTGGAACCTAGTCTGGTGTCAGGAAGGAGGTAACTCTCAGACGCCATGCCAAACTTCTTTCCGCTCGACAGGTATCCATGTCTGAGGACAGAATGAGAGAAAAGGCTACCTCTTTTTAAGTGGAAGGACGTACCGAACGGACATACCCTCCCCCCACCCCAACAGGACACCTTAACAAGTTCCCTTTTAAGAATCAAACCTGGAATGGGTTCCAGAGTCCTCTCCGATAACAGAAAACATTACCTTTCACAAGATGGACCAGACGGTGTTCATTACGACAGATGTATTTCTTACGGAAGTATTATCAAAACCGGTCAAATAGTTACACACTGTGAAGATATTCATTCTCATTCATACCTCTTTGTACATAGACGTTATTGGCAACTGTTTGGGGGGAAGAAAAGCTAGGACAGAGAGAGAGCATTGCCGGCAATGACCTAACGTCAATCAGGAAAAAATGGATTAAAAGGTCAGAGTCATTTGGTCATAAGACTTCCCTTATGACAGAGTTATAGCATCACATCAGACAGGACACCAACTAAATTGGATGCCAGATCCTCTTTTTGTAAATTAAGGACAAAATACCAGTTCTCGCTCAGGGCCAGGTTATGAGGAGATTTTAGCTAATCTGATCCCACTTAGGACTGCAAGGTGAGCTAACATTTCTGCTACTCATAGAAGTTCAGGGAGGTTTTCGCTCTCCCCATAGATGGAATAGTCCCGATCCCAAATCCAAAAGAACAAAACAAGTAGAGATAATAATGGCTGAGACCACACTTATATGGAAAGTTTGTTAAAATTATGCAAGGCACGGCCCAATGAATATTCATATATACGGACATGCCGAAACACAGAAATAAATGCATCTCTATCTGTCTGACAGATATATATTTGTCTATCCTCTATCCAGTATATATGCATATCTAGACTGATAGATATGTATTCATGTTGGTGTATATGCACATCTCTATAATAAAATATTTTTTGAGTCCAGCATTGTACAGTTTTAACAAACCGGCTGATAGTCAGAACCTCAACCAACATAGACATAGAATAAAAGTTCCAGAAAATATTTTTTTTCTTATGGAATATAGGATACACATAACAGCACAGGACAGGGAAGGAGAAAATTTAATGTTTACTTATGGCTGTACTTGAAATTTAACAACTGTGTCATGAGTGAGGGAGCACCAGTTGTATATTACTGCAGATGGAGAGATCAACCATGCACATCGTGGGGAAGGGGCGAGGATTCATTGTTGTCATAAACACTTCCCTGCCACTTCTATATACTTTCTTTACTACCTTTAATTTATCATTACATTTTTCCTGAGGAATCCATTACTTAAATCTCATTGTGTATCTTAAAAGCATACACCCCATAGTTAGACATATCGGAGCAATAAATATCATGGTTGATTCCCAAAAAGCACTGCCTTACTTGATGTATATCGCATTTACCCACTCATCATCATGTTTCTCACAGATGTTAGGCTTATATGCAATGTTTCTCTGTTTTTTTGTTTTTTTTTTTTCTCTACTCCTTTCTCTCTGAGAGGCAACGAACAACTAAGCACCCACTTACTCCCCTGACGTAATAACCATACATAACCTTAGAGATGAATTGATGTCCTTCTGTAAGAAAAACCCTTTATATGCACAACTTATTACAGTACAGGCTTAATAGAAACCAATTCTTCTGATGCGATTTTGAGCTCTGCTTTTGACTTCAGAGTAAGATTTTGTTAAACAATATTAGTCACAAAAATAATCCTCCAAACTCTCCTTTTTAAAAAGACAATACATTCAGACCATAAAACTTAAAAACATTAAAGATAAAAGAAACTCTGTTCATTAACATCAATAATTTTAATGTAAAAAATAACATTTACACTTTGGCTCAACTTCTCAGTACTTTTGCATCCTGATCCACAAAAAGGTAAAGGCCTATCGCACATTCTTGTTCAGCATACTCCTGCCCTAATATGTAAGTATTCATATACAAAAAAGAAAAATACCGGAAGAAAGGGAATCAGAAATATTTAAAAAGTAAGAGGAGAGAGAGAGAGAGAGAGAGAGAGAGAGAGAGAGAGAGAGAGAGAGAGAGAGAGAGAGAGAGAGAGAGAGAGAGAGAGAGAGAGAGAGAGAGAGAGTGTGTGTGTGTGTGTGTGTGTGTGTGTGTGTGTGTGTGTTGTGTGTGTGTGTGTGTGTGTGTGTGTGTGTGTGTGTGTGTGTGTGTGTGTGTGTGTGTGTGTGTGTGTGTGTGTGTGTGTGGTGTGTGTGTGTGTGTGTGTGTGTTACCTTATATACACATATGAGTCAATCTGAAATAATGGATTTAAATTCAAAAGACAAATGAGAAAAAAAAAAAAAAAATCTCCTACATAAATAAAAAAACAATATAACAAAAATACTTTTATCATTACTACTCATTCCTATGAAAATACATATATCATCTGAATGATGTATACAAAACCAATTTCAATTTCTGTCAAAATATTTACACACATATAAACATAGTTCTATGAAACCTAGGTACAGCCACGGCCACTCTCTCTAAAACATACTTTTATAAACAAAACTTAAGAAGTCTTTAAAACAGAAGAAGTGCACTTAGTGACACTTCGGAATTAGGTTTTTCTTAATGGTATTAGCTTCCTGTAGGAAAATAAATATATAGCATATTTGCCATCAAAGGCACTGTCCCATGCACAGCACGATAAAACCACAAAAGTATCTATTGCAACACAAGCAAAATGTATCCTTCAGGGAAACAATCAGTATCTCGTCAAAACGAACGCTACCTCCACAAAACACATCCAAATTTAATATGCACGCACACACAGAAAATAAAAAATCCTGAAACTCTCTTCCACATACAATGTCTTGAGTTCCTTGAGGATGGGGAGAGGATAGGGGCTCAAGCAGTGACCATCCGCTCTTCAGTGAAGCGTTCATTGAGGGATCTGGAGGTTTGGTTGGGGACATGGCGGAAGCCTTTCACACCAGGTCCAGGGCCACTGTTGAGGGTGACCTCGTCCTTGCCCTGCAGCACGGCAATCTCCTTCTGCACTTTGGGGTCCAGTATTTGTCGGTGAGGCTCTGGAGGAGACCGTACGTTCTCTTGGGAGATGGTGGCCATGAGGGGAGCAGTGGACATGGCTGCCAGCCTGGCTCGTGGGTCTCTGCTCGTGATGATGTTCCTCTTGGTGAGCTTCCGTGGCATATCAGACACCTGGAAGCTTGGCTCAGGTGGCGGCTGGCGGACATGCTCATTAACAACAGTGAAGGTAGGTGGGGCGTACCCAGGGTTAGTGTTCTGATACACTCTGTTTCTATTCAATCTCGGCCTCTGTCTGGGTTTGGCTCCTGAGAAGTAAAAAGGCAAAGTATTACATCATCAGTTACTAAAATGACAAAGCATTACTCAATCTAAATCCCTTCTATGACCTACAGCTCATAATGTATACAAAATGGTGCTATGTCTATTCCCCATAATGTTTTTGAAATGTTGCTCTGCCATACTGGCTCACCTGTTCCTGTGATTCAAGGTATACTGTACATTTAAATACCACATCTAAACTGTTCAATCTGTCCTACTTATTTCCATATTGTTAATCACATAAATCCAGCAAGAATTTACAAATGTGGGGAAAAAATCTTTATAAAATAGCACACACTTCAAAAAGAGGAGTGTCCTCATCATCAGTCGGACAAGTAAGCTGTATAACAGTCCATAAAATAATAATCTTGGACACTCACTGACTGACAAACTCACTCTCTCTATCTCTCTTTGATGGTATTTTGCCAACCACATGAATGATAATAATAATAATAATAATATTAAAATGAAGGAGGAGAAGGAGGAGGTGGAGGAGGAGGGAGGGAGGGAGGATTGAAGGGGAATGGAAGGAGGAAGAGGGAGGAGGAGGAGGAGGAGGAGGAGGAGGAGGAAGAAGGAGAGGAGGAAGGGAGAGAGGAGGAAAGAGGAGGAGGAGGAGGAGGAGGAGGAGGAGGAGGAGGAGGAGGAGGAGGAGGAGGAGGAGGAGGAGGAGGAGGAGGAGGAGGAGGAGGAGGAGGAGATGAAGGTGGAGGTGGAGGAGGTAGAGGAGGAGAGGAATGGGAGGAGGAGGGAGGAGGTGGAGGAGGAGGAGGAGGAGGAGGAGGAGGAGGAGAGTAGAGGAGGAGGAGGAGGAGGTAGAAGAGGAGGAGGAGGAGGAGGAGGAGGAGGAGGAAGAGGAGGAGGAGGAGAGGAGGAGAAAGGAGGAGAGAGGGAGGAGAAGGTAGAGCAGGAGGAAGAGGAGGTAGAGGATATGGAGGAGGAGAAAGAAGAAAGAAAGAAAGAAGAAAAAAAAAGGAAACTCTTTTCACCTTTCCAGACATCTAAACTACTCCATACCCAAACATACCATTCTGGGCCGACTGTGTTGAAGCGATGTTGTTCTTTATGCTGACTGTCAAACCCCTCTGTGAGGAGAGAGACACCACAGAGCCAGTGCCTCTTGATGGGTCTCTCATTTGCTGCGTCCTCATCTTCTGCAAAAACAATAAAAAAGAAAAAACTTATTACTGACATTCAGATGTGGAACACAAATTTAAAAAGCGAGAGGGAAAACAAATAAAACATTAAAAGGGGAGTAAGACTATGACGAAAAAATTATCCATACTTTGGGAATAATTTTTGAAAATGTACGTTTATGTTCTAAATATAATACGATCCTCAGACTTTCAACAATGACTTGCTTTATGCATCCCATCAAACTAAGAGAAACATGGATTTGCAGAAAAATATTTAATACTCATTCCTCTAATCAACTCTTTTAAGCCCCGGGACAACCTACCTTATCCTTCAACACATCGACCTTTTGTCGTTGTCTGATCTTGTGCAGGAGGAGCTGGTCAGACCGCAGACCTCTCACCACTGTTCCATTGCCCACACGCACTTTTAGGGGAGTCCCCAGATTTCCTTTGGTCTGCTGTAAGAGTGGAAGTGTGCTGGTACTCATGGCAAATGTCGAGTGCAAATGTATGTGCAATGGCAGACCCAAACCCAAACACCCATGTCCAAATCAACACTAACACATATGCCCCTACCTATGGATTCCCAAAACACACCCAACCACACCCACTCACTCACCTAGCCAACCACATCCAAACATATATACATATATAGCCCCCACAACACCCTCCCCCCCCACACACATACAAGTAAACACATACAGTATACACACACACACACACAAAGAAAAAAAAAAAATAAAAAACTAGTCAATAATATATAACTTACAAGAAGAAGAAAAAAGGCATATCTTAAACCCTCCTGTCATGACCCTTCTTGTGCC